ATATTGTCGAGGGTTAGGAATTTGAAAGATTTGTGAAATCATAAACTTTACATTGACACATTTCACTATATTTTTATTGTATACAGATACAAACACAAAAAGAGGTATGAAATTGACACAACACTGTAAACTGACTATAACTCAATAAAATAAAATAGAACAAAATAAAATGAAGAGGAAAGAAAAAATTACCATTAGACAATAATGGAGGAAATGACATTTTAGTTACAACCCTCTTCTCTGACAACTCCCCCTTCTCCCCACTGACACTGACCAGATAACTGACCAATCCAGGATGTCAGCCGCTGGCTGGGTTCCAGGTGGAATGTTGGGGTGCCCCCCAGGGCTTGTTGTGGCTGGTGGCTCCACGGTAACTGGGCAGAGCCCTGGGTGGGCCAGTGCCATGGAGGGGCTGCTGTCCTCTGCGGACCTTGGCTTTGGGCTGACCCTTAGGACGCTGAGTGCAGTCCTGGTGTTGCTGCTGCCCAAAGGCCTGTGTTCTCAGCTCATGTTCCAGAGCCTCCACTGGGAGGCAGTACTGAGTCCGCCTGTCCTCAGCTTATTTATTGCTCGATGTCTTACTTTCAGACTTATTGAGTCTGTTAGAAGTCAACTTAATGGAAGACATGAAAAGCAACTGGCAAAAACACTGGCTGCACAGACTGAGGAGAAATGCCACATCGACAAGCTTCGTGTGGCTAAACAGGAGTGTGCCAGGATGGAGACAACCGTAAAGGACACCGGGCTAGAGAAGGAGCCGCTAAACACACCCAGCCTCGCTGACACCTACAGAGAGCTGATGACAGCCAACCTGGTTCGAGGAAGGAAATCAGTTTTCTCATCCAAGAACTGAAGAGAGAGAGGCCCCTGCAGTCTGTACGAAAAGAGATGGCAGAGATGCTGAGCATGCTCACATTCCTGGAGGAGGTCACGAGAACCAGCACATCACAAGGGGCTTTTACACACCAGCCAGGGGGCCGAGCACCAAGTCCAGATGGCCCCTTTCCCAGGAGTGGGCCCTTGTGTTAAAGCCGAGCTGTTCCCTCCCCTCCACGCAGGCCTCCCAAGTGGCCAGCCTGCATTCTCTCAGTCAGGTCTCCACCTGAGCGGCACCGAGGCCAGTGGATGGAGGGCAGTTCCCTCCCCGGCACCAGAGTTCCTCCAGCTTTACCAGTGAGCACAGCAGTGAGCTCCTTTGTGGTCAACATCTCTCATCTAAAATATATTGGAACTCCCAGAAAACACCACGAAGCATGGGGCTTTTTTTATATTCAGCCAATGTCTGGATTCTCTCTTATTAGTTGTGAAAGAAATGTTGTAATTGAGACTGATCTTCCACTTAGTTTGAATCTATATTAAGCCTCATTTCTCAAGACAGTTTGGGTAACTATCATATATCAGCAATGTAAGTGAAGTGTATATATAGTTATCATGTGTACAAATATTGCATTATAATTTGAAATTGTATGCAGTTTGTCAATATAAACTTTAAGATGGCCATAGCATTTATTTCTAGAGTTTAATTCTAAGTCATAAGTTTAGAGTCTTTTTTTACCTGAGTATGCATAGTTTTTTTAAAAAATAGATGAACTTTTAAAGATGAAGTTAAATTGTACTCTTAAAAGAAATTTTTATCATTTAATTTTTATATTCTGCTGTAACAATATCCATAATAAAAAATAAATTTGATAAATTAAAAAAAAAAACTCTTACATTTGAAAGCTAAAAAGCTAGACTCCTAAATAGCCCACAAGTTACAGAAGAAATAACAACCAAGTAATTTATATTAAAACTCAAGGAATTTTTAATATTAAAAAAATTTAAATTTAAGGATGAAGCATGCCTAAAGAGAGCTGTATAGTCTTAAATATATTTGTTTAAAATGATGAACACTAAAAATAAATGAGCTATGTGTTTTTTACTCAAGAGGCTAGAAAAAGTAAACACTCAAAGAAATGAAGAAAAATGAAGCACACAGATCTGTGAGAAGGAAACAGAAGTGAGGATCTACAGAACTAAATGCTGCCTCTCTGCTGGGAGCATCTGTTTCAATAGATTTTTTTCAGAGATTTATCAAGGGGAAAAAGACAAAATTTTTGGAAGAAAAGGACAACTATAACTAGAGATATACTTTGTAAATCACGAAAGTATCTTGAAGCATCTTTTTGCCATGACTTTGTAAAATGTAAAATGAAATGAACAATTTCCTAGGGAAACCTTGCGGAAGCTACTGCTGGTCGGCCCTGCTTCCACTCTCCCTTCCCAGAGCAACGCTGCCTGCCACCATGCACAGCCCACACGTGGTAGGTGTGCTGGCTCCAGAAACCTCGACCCCTAGCCAGCCGGGAGGCCTCCACCACTTACCTGTGTGCCTTGCAAATACCATTCTGTGACCGTACCAGGCAGTGAGAAAGCTTGGCAAGTTCTAGTCTATATTAATGGAACCTCTGATTGTTAGCTGAGCAAATGGATGCCTGGAATAGAGATGTAACATCAGAGTCCCCTTAGCGACAAAGATCTGGCCAATATAATGTAAGCAGAGTGGTGTGCACCACTCCCATTAAATCGCCTAAAAGAGAAGGGCTGTACCCTTCCCCTACTTCCCCTTTCCTCCTTCCTGCTGACTGGAACACAAGTCGTGAAGGCTAGAGCTGACAGCCTTCGTGGCCCATGAGGTGCCCTGAGGAATGGAAGTCATGCACCGGGAGGATGAGGCAGAAGGGTCTGGATTGCTACCACCTCCAGACTCAGACTCAAGAGCTAATTAAAGCACTTTCTACAGCATTTAAGTCACTATTATTTCAGATCTTCCCCCCACCCACAAGTACGCCTAATACTAACTGATTCAAATATTAATTACCATAATGAACTCAAAAAGAAATAAAAAAATGAAATATACTAAGGAAAGTGCCTTGGTGAAATAAACAAACAGAAAGAACCAGCTTGAGAGAGCAGAAAAGCCAGTAACACTGGGGCTCTAATACTAAAAAAAGAGCAAGGAAAGGCGGAACCAGCAAGAGAGACAGAGAAGGGGTGACCAGCACAGAGGAGGGAGGGGTGACTGGTACAGAGGAGGGTGACCGGCTCAGAGGAGGGCTGGCCAGCACGGAGGTGGGGTGACCGGCTCAGAGGAGGGGGACCGGCTCAGAGGAGGCTGGCCAGCGTCCACGTTGCGGCTGCTCGCAGGCACATCAGCAGGACTGAAAAGCATAGAGACCCACGGCGCCGAAGCTTGCCGCACTTGGACTTGTACAGAAAGCGTTTGCTGGCTGCTGCTTGAGAGACATCTGTGCCAAGACACACGTACAGGAGCCCACAGAAGTGCTGTTTATAACAGCAGAAGGCTGAGGATCCTCAGTGTCCATCAGGAAAGGAATTTAATCAATAACAATGGGAAATCACTCATCCATTAAAATTTTAGAACACACTGGGTCTACGGCTATCCCTCGGGGGGTCTCAAGAATATAATGCTTCCCGAAGAAAGCAACGTGCAGTGTACCAACGAAAGGGTAAGGTTACAAGCTTGTAAAGCAAAGCTCGACACACATGAACGTAAGGACCACATGGAATCATCGCAGTGGTCGCCCCCGTGAGAACAGGACCGGGGCGAGGACAGCTTTTCCTATACATTTGAACTTCTTTTATTTAAAAAAAGTAATTCAAAGGTTTTTAGAAGACCAGTTAGAGATCTGATGTTTACAACATACTAAAGAAGACAAAGCAGAGAAGCTTGCTCATTTTTCCTGCCCAACTGTAATACACATCACCCTGATTTTAAAGCACGAACTATACATTTTTAAAACAGTAAATGTTCACCAAACTAGAACCTTTTTTTCCCTTCTATCTTCTAAAGTCAAAACGTCTACTAATCTGAAATTTACTCTTCAGAGGAAACTTTGAAACACAGGCCTAGCGTGCTTTGCATAAAAAACACAGCTGTAAAATTTAAACCAACTGAAGCTTCAAAGGTTACCTATAGTAACAGCCGGGAGGCACACACTGGAGGTTTCCGACAGAGTCGCAGAAACATTGCCAGGGACACCGGGACAACTCCTCAGGCAAATGAAAAGGACTATAACATATTAAAATTCCACAGCAACACACAACAGACCAGAAAGGCATTTTCTCCTCTCAGCAGAGCGGTGGTGGTGCTGTGAGCAGAGCCTCAGCAACACCACTCTCCTGTCACTGCTGTGAAAGGGCCCCCTCTAGCGGTCCTTTCTCATACAGCTCTCATCAGGAGAGATTTCGGTCCTGAAGACATTTCAGGACAAACCAGGATATTTTAAGCAGAATTATGGAAAATAAACAACCATTAACTCAACTGGGGGAAAAAAGATATTTGTGTGAGAGTGCGTATACAAAACTTATTGGAACTGTTGGTTATTGATAAATTCTTGGTTAGTTAACTAACCAAGAAAGTTCTGTTCAAAAACCAAAAAATAAAGATGTAGTCTTTTTTCCAGGCGGCTAAAACAAAAACCTAGCGGCGGCATCTGAGTCTCACTACCTGGCCAGCAGGTCACGTGCCCAAGGGTGGTGGCTGGTGGAGGCTGTGAGTCCCCACAAAGCACATCACACACCTGTGAGGATGGCGGCTAGGGGCCCAGGTCTGACGGCACAGGTATTTACAACTTCCCCAGACCCATGCAGACAGCCTGCCTCTCTGCAAGCAGGGAGAAGGGGCGGACCAGGAGGAAGGGGTCAGCATGGGGTCAGAGCAGAACAGGCCTTTGGCCCTGACCCCTAAGCCCCCAAGTGAGGCCACTGCCCACGCAGGACAGGACTGGACGTGGGTGTCAGGCAGCAACAAACACAGAAAAAGCCCCGAGTCCTCTATCCTCCCAACCAGAAGGCGGGATGGGCAGTGGAGGAGGCTGGTAAATATGTGAACAGACATTATTGATTATCACAATATTTGAAAGACACTTCTCATCTTTAAAAGCAAGTGTGTGAAGCCGACTGCTAAACGCCTGTGTTTACAGAAATCGTGCTGTTACCTTCTCTCCAGGTTGGGGTGACTGCTGCAACTTCTCATAGTCCTTCTTAGTCTCCAGAATTTTTTTGACAAGTCCTCCTGTTGGAAATCAGTGGTTTATATTAAAGCGGTTCTCTGCCCTAAGAAGCCATCCTCTTCTAAATGTGGCGGGGGTGGGGGTGAGGGTGGGGAAGGAACACTCAGTTCTTATTCTTCCTCTTTCTATTCTGAAATAGCTCCAAGTAATCTTTATTTCATATAAGACTGAAGTAATTTTTTCAATCTATTGAAGACTAAGTATTAATACTTCTTCTATATTGGGGCAAGATTCATCAACATTTTTTTAAAAAAAAGGATTACCCAGAGGGTAAACAGCATATGAAAAACTATTTTCTTTAAAATACTCTTTTACGCATGTATGCATCACTATGAAACCGGCTGCCTGACTACGGTACAGTCCATGTGCAGAAGAGGACGCAGCCACGAACAGGGAGCAAGACTCTGTCCCCGCCTTGCTACGGCATGAATGCCAGCACACACTGCCAAGTTAAAAAGGCAAGACGGAGACAAGTGCAGATACTGGTAAACGCTCACACACACGCTCATACATGCGCAGTCACATGTTCACACACATGCGCGCTCACACGTGTGCACACAAGTTCACACGTATTCACTTGTATTTTTTTAAATGGAAGTTTAAGACATGTTTTTACTGATACCTATGGAGGGACGGAGTGTAGAGTGGAATCAGGGGTGGGAGCCCTGCATTTCAGAACAGACTTTCATACATCGGACCCTGGAATCACGTGAATATTTTACATAAATAAAACTAAATCAAAATTTCAAAGCCTAAAAATTGAAAACAAAATGAAGCTATACACTTAGCAATATCACACTGGCATGCATAACCTAACGGAAGAGACTTTTTTGACAACTGTAAAAGAGTCATTGGCTCTGCATCCCCAGCGGGACATACGCTGAGAACAGGAAGGCAAGCAGGCCTACCACAAACTCCCTGAAGTGCTTTCAGTAATCACATGGCTATTAATCACGGGTGGTGCGGCTCTGAAACTGCTGTGTGTGCACAACGTAGGATGAAGAAACAAAGGCTGATGTTGCTGGGAAAAGATTTTTGGCATGAGACAGAGCTGAACGTGCAAAAATCAAGGAACTTAGGAAGAACTCCACAATGTAAATCTGAATTGGAAATACCAGTACGAACTCAGGATCTACTTTCTTATGAAAAACTAAAACCCCTAGAAACAATGACCAACCCAGAAGCAATGTGCGGCCAGCCTCCCTGGAGATCTGGGGCAGGAAACACACAAGACGAGCCTGAAGCACCTGTCAGAGCAGAGACAAGGAAGCTACTGGGATGTGTCTAAAGGCCCCCAGAAGGTACCACGAGCACGGCTCCGGCGGTCAAATACTGGACAGCAGACCATTAACGATTAAACTGAGGTGAACTGAAGTGGGACACATCAAGTGTGTTACAACCACGACATCACAGACATCAAAACCACCAGCGCCACGCCGCCGCCCTCATCAGCCACCTGGGCGGCAGAGGTGCGGGGAAACTAACGCACTGCTGTGAAAACGGATCAGCAAAGGGGAGGCGTGGAGCTGCGCCCTGGAATGGGAAACGCCTGGGAGGGGAAGCTTCACACCTTGGAGACTGCCAACCAGAACGCGCCGGGGGAGGGGGCGGAATGAGAAAGCCACCGTCCCACCACCCCCGGGAAGCAACAGACCGAGGCTGCCGTCCAGGCACACAGACAAGCAGGTGCGGTGAAGCACCCACCCCACCTGTCGAGTGTTCTCGCCCAAAACACCTGACCAAGCCCCCAGAGCCCATTCACAGCAACACTGGGTGCGCAAGCAGGGCCCAACCTGGGAAGCGCCACAGGACAACTGGCCAGCCTCTCCAACAAGCGAATTACAGGGCGTGAGGGGTGGGAGGGGCCTCCAGCTAGAAGAGCATCCAGAGGTAAACCACCCGACTGCAAACGCAGGGACCTCGTCTGGATTCCGACTCAAACCAGAAAACACACACAAAACAACCCGTAACGGACAAGAACCTGAAAAAGAAAACACACATAAACACACAACTGAACCACTTTGCTGTACACCAGAAATTTACGAACCCGTGAATCAACTACACTTCAGTTTAAAAAAGAACTAGAAAAGTACAGGCATTTGATGATCTTAAGGAGTGGCTGCTTTTTTTATAAACAATGGAATTACGGTTATGTTTTTTAAACAGAACGTCTTTACAGGAATAATGATGCTCTGCGGGGCTCGAAAGCCATCTGGGGAGATGGGGTCACGGGGGTGGAGACTCAGAGCAAACAAGACGACCGGTCGCTGCAGAAGCTACAGGGCAGGGCGGGGGTTCCTACACTACTCTCTCTGCTTTTATAAATGTTTAAAATAAAAGAAGACACTGTGCTTGGGAAGAAAACAACATTGCAGAACTTTCACCCAATCCCACAACCTGGTCGTGCAGATAAGATGTAACGTCATCCACACACATGCTCACAGCTGACCACAGGGTCCTGGGCCCCAGCAGCACCCTCGGCCCCTAGAATAAGCCCACACACCCAGGAGGAGCCAGGCCCTGCCGTCCTACTCATGCTCCTCGGACCCCTGGCCAAAGCCCGGCACACAAAGCTCATCTCACCAGACCCTTTTAGAACACACGGAGCAGACACATGCGCGCACACAGGCCCGCAACTCACCGTGCTTCTCGTCTTCTTCTAATTCCACTGCTTGTACCTGAGCAGGACCAAAGGAGAACAAGGAGATTCAGGTCTGTTGAATTCTCAAAATCATGCTTGCCTGGATCTCATCAGACGAATGACAAAATTAAAGAGGGCAGAAAACTAAGTGGAAAATTAGAGGAAATTTTTGTCTACATAAATCTGAAAGTCAGAGTATTCATTCCAATGCTGTTTGAGTGCAATCATAAAAACATACCCCCCAGCTAACAAACCGTTTCTGGTTCTGACATCTCAGAAAGCTGGGGGACGGCCTCCACCACAAACTGATCATCGTCCTCGTTGTCAGAGTTCTGTGAATCTATAATCACATTTGACACGGTTTTACCACTCCCTGCCCTAAATAAAAAGAAACTGGATTAAGTGAGAAATGCTCCACTGGTCACACGTTCTCATCAACCCCATGCATCTGGGACTGCGTCTGAAGCTACATGAGAGAAGTCTAACCATAAACCATCTCTAGGACCACTCAGAATACAGGCTGGAGCTGAGATGAAGTCTGGAATCATGAAGCCTGCTGAAGGCCCCCAAGCCTGGGTCTTTGTGAGCCCTGCCCTCTGCCCGAGACCCCAGCCCCACGCCTCTACCTGACAAACACCCTCTGAGCTGATCCTCTTCCCCGCTGGGCTCCCTGGGAGACCAGTCGTTCACCTGCAGCCCCTCACTAGGGGGGACCCAGTCTCCTAAGTGGCAAACCTCAGGGCAAGAGTAGCACTGGTGGCCCTGCTGGCCAGGGCTGCCCCAGACCCCTGTGCCTTGGTCTCTCTGAGGAACACCGCAGCCCCCTCAAGGCCCCTCACCTGGCTGCTAGTCACTGTCATCGACCTACATCCCTGCCCAGCCCCCTCACCCTCACCTCCTCTCCCCCTGTCCTGGTGCCCCAGGTGACCGTCTCCATCCAAAACTCTCTCATGCCTCCAGTGGCCACCTGAGGGAACTGCCCTGCCTACTGTCACCCACCGCACAGCAATCCCCCTACCACCGCCAGCTGCCCTCTGCCAAGGTACTAACTCCCACTGCGCCTGCGCAGGGGAAGCCCCGCCCCTCAGGGCACAGCGATGCGAGGGCCTCACCTGTCTGTCGTCAGTGCCTCTGAGCTCTCCTGCCGTTTCACCCGGGGAGGTGCTGGCCTTGCGCTCCCAGGCCGAGGTATTCGTCTAAACCCAAATATTCAAAAACCAAAAAAGGGATATAAAATACTTGCACATTTCAAAGTGGACAGAAGAAAACCCAGATTAATGTTAACACTGATTTCCAGGCCACCATCAATATGCCAGTTAGGCTGTAGTCTACAGAATATTAAGAACATTCCAGCAGCCTGACACATCTTTTAATCTTATATTCTCATTAACGTTACGGTACAAAAGTGTAATAATATAACCATCAGGAATCAAACCACGAAGAAATTTAGCCATCATATAAATTTCCCATAATCCCTAAAACATTCTTCGTGAGGTTAGTTATACCTCAGGTACAAGAAAATTAAATAAAGCATTTTTGCTCTCTTTGCACAAATGTCTCCTCACAATTACGCTCTAGCATCACGTAAGCTGAGGAGGGCACAGAGAGGGGCAGGGCGCAGCGGCCCGGGCGCAGGACGAGAGCACACGGACCTGACCGCAGACGGGAGCTCGCCGGCTGGCTCCGAGCTCTCCAGCACCTCACACTTCTCCTGGCCAGGAGGTCCAGCTTCTCCTTCTGCACCGATGACGGGCCAATCGGCAATTTGCAAAGAAAGAAACAGACAGCTGGTAAACATCTGAGAAGACAACAGTCAAATCACTGCAGACACACATGAGCTTGTTTTCCTCTGTTATTCTGATGAAAATAGAACAGACACTTAATATCTAAATTTGGGGGAGATTTGGGGGAAAGGGCACACTCACATCTTGGAAATACAAACTGGCTCAACTTCTTAAGAGCCAGAATTGAAAAGGCAGGTCTAGCAAGTCGGCAAACTAACTCGAAGGAAATACAGCCTAAGGAAAGAAACTACCACGTGTAAACACGTGTCAAGATGCTCGCCCGCCATCGTCACAACAGCGACACACGACGAAGCTTCAGCAAACTGCAGCGTCGTCGCCTGTGAGACCCTTGTCTAAACAATGCCAACCTTCTAATATTTGTAGAGCCAACGAGTAATACATCTAGTAATTACGTGCACACAGATGGGCTCCAGGAGGACATTCACTCAAGTCACGAGCAGTGGGATTACCAGTGCTTTGCATTTTCTTCTTCATATTTTTCTGCATTTTTAAAGTTTTTTGCTTTGGCTCTGAACCATATTCTTTTTATAACCTGACTAAAGTTTTCTCCATTTTGATAAAAAGATTTAATCAGTAAATAGTAAGCCCAAACTATTAAGAAAATTAAATTTACTAAACAAAAGGGCGTTATACCTTAAAAAAACAGTGAAAATAAATCAGAATTTGATTATCGGAAATACTTTATACTCTGGAGAAAAGCCAGAAATGTATTCTTTTGAAACAAAATATGACAAATTTTAAATTGGCGTACTTTTATTTCCTTAAGTTACCTTCACCGATACAATTTGTAAAACATAATTCTGAGCGTGCCTGTTACTACCTATACCCACACAGTTTATACCAAACACACTTACTTGAAGTCACCCTTACCTGCATCACTAGGGGAGTCACCTTAAAAAAAAAAAGGTACATCAGAAAATCAACCTCGGGGTTAGTAAACCTCAGCATATTAAATGAGCACAAGAGGATCAGAGGAAAACACATATTCAATCATTGTGGATGTCCGTAAGGGAAAACGCTCACTTCCTCACAGGCTTTTTCTCATTTCCTACCATCATCGCTTCAAAGAGAAAAAGACAAAGAACAGACAACACTGAATCGTGGAAGGCTGTTACATGAGGACAGGAAACGGGATGAGAAGAGTGCACAGCACAGAGGAGGAGGAAGGGCGCAGACAGGCAGCAGCAGGGACCTGAGTGCAAGGGGCGAGCAAGGGAACCACGCACAGGCCTCCAGCGTTGCTAAGACTGCGAAACCCAACAACAGCCCAGCTCACGTGACTCGGCAGTATTTTTCCATCGGCTCCTAATCAGGAAGAAAGCTTCTCAAGCCGCACTGGGCTGCCCTGGCATTCCTCCCCGGGCCCTTCTCTCCCAGGCTGCCCTGTGGCACCAGAGTGACCAACATGGCCACATAGACAGGCGGGTGCACTGATGGGGTGGGGCGGACAGTCTGAGTGTTACACCTGCAGACTGGCCAAGACTCCATGGATTCAGGTCAGAGCCCAGGACAGTTGGGGGTCGCCCTGGCCACCTCCAGACACGCCTACAGGGATGGGCCCAGTGATCCTGAGGACGCACCTGTGGGCTCGGTAAAGAGCGCCCCTCCAACACCCGAGTCTGCCTGTAGGCAGGAGGACCCTGAGAGTTTCCTGTGGCCTATGGGGTGCTACAGTCAGCCACAAACGCTGCACTAAAGTGGGCCATGCTTAGGAGCCAACAGGCCCTCCAGGACCCTGTCTGTAGGGAACATAGGCATCCCCAGAGGGACACAGCAGAGAACAGGCCTGGAGGATGTGGCTCCGGGCAGCATCTCTGGAGGGACGGCGAGAAGACGCGGGGCAGTTGCCCAGGAGGAAGAGAGACCCTCCCCTACGGCGCATGCGAGTCACTGTGTGGCCAGGGGCCCTGGGCTCCAAACCCCCAATCTCCCTTCAAAGCCCACACCATCCGTGCTGGGGCCAGATGAGGGGTGCAGGCAGAGCTCAGAAAGTTCACTGAGAGGTGGGGGAACTGAGTCCCGAGGCGGATGCCCAGGGCCAGTGCCCACAGTAGCCACACACTTCACCGATTGGTCCCCAGCCCCTCGGGTCCCCAGCACGGCCGACTCCTCCCCCCCCCCCCGGTGCTCGGCCCTCTAGCTCTGCACCTCAGACCCTTCACCAGCTCAGCCTCCTCCCACACCCTGGAGCCAAGGCGGTCTTCACCCTCTTCCCCCTCTTCCTCTGGGTCCAGGGGAGTGCACCCACAGCCAGGCTCCCCACCTGCCATCAGTCGTGCCAGCTACCCCTCTCCAAGCTCAGCCTCAGCTGCCGGAGCTCCTCCCCTGCCCAGCACTCCACCGCAGCCCAGGCCGCTCCTCTCCGCTTGCTAAGCCGCCCAAATTAACAGGATCTAAATATATGATGAAGACACTTATCCTAAAAATGTCACCAGCTTCCTGCTGCTAAACTCCCTAAACATGGCCACCGGCCCCAACTCCCACCCCTCCACCTACACCAGGGCTCTCCAGGTGCCCCCAGGTGCAGAGTCCTCCATCCCAGACACGGCACCGCTCTCCAGCTTGGCCTCTGCTCACTGATGCCCTCGCTGCCTTAGGGCCCCGCACACAGTAGGCCTTCAACAAATATCTCCTGTCTGAACAAACGGACAAACCTTGGCCCTCACCGGGCCACACGTCCTGTTGCCCCAGTCCCAACACCCCAGGCTGGGTCCAGCTGTGGCCACCGGCGCCAGCCGTGGGGCTGGGGTGCAAGACGCTGAGCCAGCTGGGAGGCACTGGCTCCCTGCCCAGCCTGGTAGGAGCTCCAGGGCCTTAAAAAGCAAAGGCTGGAATGTATATGTTACCACGATTTTTTTAGAATGCTGGGGAAATTATGCTGAAAGCAGAATCCCACTGAGGTACGATTTAAGACACTCACAGAACATTACAGATAGAAAAGTCATGGTCATGGCAGCACTTTGAGCTGCTTAATAGTCCTCTCTGAACATGAAATCTAGGGGGTGTTCAGTTCAGCCTCCAGGACCCCAGTAGGGCCTGCAACTGGTTTTGGGTCAGCTCCGACTTCTGGGGCTCTGCTGCCTGGTCTCAGGGAGCACACTGGGGACATGGGCGCCTTCTGCCACCAGGCAGTGACAAGAACGTTCTACTCTGGTTTGTGTAAGAAGAGCGCCATCTGCCACGTTCAGTCCTGACGGCGTGAAGAACAAGGGGCCAGACTCCACGTGCGTCAAAGACCCCGGGACCTGTGGCCGCGCCAGGCCTTTGGGGAAGAGGCGCCGGTGGGCGCTGTGGGTCACCCCCCGGGAAGGGAGAGGCCGGCGGGGCCTCCTTACCTCTGGGCTTCACTGCGGATTCCGGCTCAGTGCTGTCACGCCACAGACTAGTCGAATTATCGTCTGAAACACTAGCTGAGTTAGTTTTAGCTTCTTTCGTTCCTGACGTAAGACAGTTAAAATGGGTCATTAAGACGGACACTGCAGGCTGTGTTAACTCGAGCACTTGCTTATCTCTGCTCCCCCCAACCCAGGTGACCAGGCATCCAGAACATTCCTCCCAGGCGTGGCTTTGGGATCAGGAGAGGGAAGGGGCGCCCAGTGAGCAGGCCCCAGCCCACTCAGCCAAGGCAGACTGGCCCCGCATTCCCAGAACCATCGACGCTGCCAGCCTCCCCTCATCTCCCCACGACAGCCTGGCCTGGGAGCTGATGAGCTACAAGCAGGTTACAACCTCAGGAAAGCAGGAGGAAAAGGAAAAAGATTTCTGGCTTAGTACACAGTCGGAGACATGGTGAAAGCTCCCAAAGCCTTGCGTGTCGATTACTGACTGAGCTGCAAATGTTTATAAAAATGGAAAAAATTCTAATACCTGAGAAACAGAACATTTTTCCTATGAAAAACAAGAGGAAGGATGGTGGACGAACAGATTTTTGAACTGTGGCAGGACCCAGGGTGGAAACTTGACCTGTGACTTAAGGACCACCCCCCCCACCCTGCAACTCTTTAAAATGAGTCAGGACACAAAAATAAAATAAAATTGGGAAAATGTTCCCCTTCCTGAAACACAATCTTATAATTTCTTAAAAGTACTCAAAGAACTAGTTTATGTCAGAATTAAACTGTCATTAACTGTCAAAGAACTGCTTTACTTTATGTAATGGAGCCACATAAAATAGACAACATTATCTTCTAGGGAAATTTTTTTCAATCTATAAAAATGATGCCGACTTAAACAGCCCAACTGAAGCAGTTAATTACTTAGGATATCCCACAGGCAGCAGCCCAAGTTCCCGTCTGGAACACCGCCAGGTTCTCAGACAAACAGGCCGACAAGCAAGCACAAGCGCGGCAGCTGCAGGTGAGCAAGGTTAGAAGGAAGCGCCCCGGTAGCTGTCAGTTGTCACACAGCGCTTGGAAGTGTCAGACATCTCCTATGCCGCGCAGGACCCACCAGCACAGTGGGTCACAGGCACATCGCTTCTATGGCTCAAGGAGACCGGCGACACTCTGCACAAGTCTATCTCCTCAAAGTTCTTTATTTTTTTTGATGGCCTGTGATGGTCGTTTGAACATTTGTTACGACCCCTGCAACAGGCCCTGGGCGCAGCACAAGCACCTGGCCATTCCGCTGGGGTTCTGTGCAAAGTTCAGCCGCGCAGAGCTGCTGACCGTATCTAAGTGTAAATGCAAATAACCGGGGTTAAAATGAGGGGTCTCCCTGGCCTGGTGATGGACCCTCGCATCACACCATGGGACACAGAGACACCAAGTGCACCCTGAGGGGCACAAGCCGCAGGGCCAGCAGCACCAACGCAGGGGTGAGGGCAAAGCCACCTCTTCAACCTGAATCCCATCAGGGCTTTAGAGCTAATGGAAATGCGGGGGTGGGGTGGGGTAGAGGGGTGTCATAAATTAAATGACACCACAAGGAAACAATTGGCAGAGAAGAGGTAACACTGCACAAGACCAGCGACCTCACCTCTCCAGAGCGTCACCGTGCTAGAACAAAGAGGGGGTTCCACATTCAAAGAAGCTAAAAGGACAAAAAGAATAATAATAATAAAAAACATACAATGTGTTCATCTCAACCAGATCTTGGTTTTTAAAAAAACTACATTTTGGGGACAATTAGAACACAGCCTGGGTTTCAGATGCTCTCAGGGAAAGATAATTCTGTTCAGTACAACAATAGTATCTTTTTTATTTTTTTCAGCTGCATGCTGAACTATTTAGATAGAATTATTTAGAGATCAAGTATTAAGATGTTTCTAACATACTGTGAAATTGTTCATAAAAGTGTATCACTACAGATGAAGCAAATACAAGAAGATACTAGAACCACTGAAACTCAGTGAAAGGTACACAAGTGTTAGTCATTCTGCTCTTTCTGCTCTTCCATATTTTTCACAATAAAAATGTCTAAACAATAAAACAAAATGAAATGAGGGAACCCAAGCTGAACAGAGGGACGGTGTCGCGTTCCAGGAAACCTTGGCAGCGGCAGAAAGAACGGGACTTCTGACAGCCTGCCTTACAGTGCGAGCAGGGCAAGACAGAATTCACGTTTTGAAAAAGAAAGAAATTCCTCGTTGAATTCTTCAGTACACCTGAAACGGCGAGTCCTCCTGACAGCGTCGCGGGCCGGCCGGGAAGGCCCATCCACCAGACGGCACTGGATCGGGAATCACAATCAATCTGAGAAGTTAAGGGGCCCCAACAGCTGCCGACAAGCCCTGAATTCCAGAAGTTCAGTGACTGCAGGAAAGAGGACATCTGTGGTGACAGGGGCCTAGGGTGCGTGCAGTGACAGGACTCGGGAAGCAGGGTCTGCGGGGAGGGAAAGGAGGGCCAGGGTCACTTGGGCACCCAGGGACAGCCAGCCTAAAAGACTCTGCTCAAGGCCACCAGCTGGCACAAGGCGTCCAACTCACTCTTCAGAGGATCACAGCTTCCATCATTTTCACACTTGTAGACAAAGATCTAGAAAGTACTAACACGTCCAAAGAACTATCCCAATTCATTTTAAATTCATCGCACCATCTCAGAATGAGCGTCCACTCAACCCGCCGTAAACTAAAGCGACCGGTGACAAACCAGCCACTTCACTGATACCGTCTCATTTATCGTCAAGGCAGGAATCTCCGCCGGCTCAGACAACACAGCACGGGGAGCGGGTCTGGGGAGCAAAGGGCAGCGCGTCCCCCTGGCGCCCCTCGCCCAAGCCTTCACCAGCGCCCACCCGTCTCCTGCAGTCCAAGGCTGCCCCGCCGCCCCCCGACAGGAGCCTGCCGGGGCCTGAGAAAAGCTCCCGCAGAAATGAACGAACGATCTCAAGATGTGGCTGAACGGCGATGTGCGCGGCCTTGGAGAAGAGAGGTTCCGGAGGCAAGAAGTCACCCGGCTCCAGCCCAGGCAGCCCGCGCAGACCTAGAGCAGGCGCCGAGCTGACCCGCCTGCAGCAGCAGCGCCACGGGTCACCCTTCAGACGGCGCTGGCCCAATCAACGGCGGAGCAGAAGGCTCGCAAACTCAGCCCCTCAGAAAAGCGGAAACCGGTGAAGGGAAGACCTGAGCACAGAAGCCGTGCTGGGGGGGCGTGGCTCAGTGGCAGAGCACGCGCTTAGCGTGCACGAGGTCCTGGGCGCAATCCCAGCGCCTCCATGATTAATTAATAAATCAGTTAATAACCCTAATCACCCCCCACACGCTGAGACGTGCTTGTCATTCCAGCCGCCCTTACACCATTTTTAAAAACCAGATAGACATGTGGCAACTTCAGCCTGGAAAAGCTTTATCTTTCCCTGAAGTCAAGATTTACACTGTATTTTCCCTTAGAGGTCACTCAAGAATTGCAATCGTTCTGAAGGACTTAGTCAGACATCACAGAAGACAACAGCTACAATCTCGGATTATCCCACTGAAATTGCAAACACACATCTAACCGCACGGTGTCCCAGGGCAGGGACATGCCCAAATGTAACACGGCGGCCGCACGTGTAAAAGGGTGTGCTCAGGGACAACGTCCCCGGGCACCACGAGCAAGCACCTGAAAACCCTTACATGGTGCATCTTGTTAGCAGAACACAGCAGAGCAGGCTAGAGAACTGAAAGATAATTTCTCTAACTACCCACATCACTTTGGAAAATTCCAGTAGCAAGATAAATAAAGCATTTTGATTTTGACACAAAAACATTACACATAGAAAGGCCTATAAAAGTTCACTTAAAGCTGAGTTAATTGTCTTTATCATAAAACTTAGCAAATTAAAGCAAACAGAACATCAAGTCATTTTTGCTCTTCAGTACAAAAAAATTCTGATGAACATTACAGTGCTTAGAATAACAAAAAACAACTATGACCACACTGAGACGTAAATGTTTCATATCAAAGTGGTGAGGAATTTAAACTAAAGAATATATTTTTCTTACCTATTTCTGAAGCTGTAGTTTCCTGATCTGGTTCATTACTTAATCCAGACACTATGGAGTCTAAAATTTTAGTTGCAATATTATCCTCCTTTTTTCCTGACATAAAATAGTTAACAACAGATTAAGTATTGCCGAAGTTTTTCCATTTGGTTGCTTTGGTTGGGATTAACCAGGGTTGATACCAGCATCATCAACTAACTGTTCTGTCAATTCAACAGTCAATTCTCAGCCTCCACGGGACTCCTTCTCAAAAGACAAGACCCCTCCCTCTTCCGTTGGCGCTTGGAACACCTGCACCCCAAACTCTCCTCCCACCTGTTGGCCTCTGTCTCCTTTGCCAGAGCCTCCTCCTGTCCGGCCCTCAAATCCTGGGCTCCATGCTCCCCCAGATTAATTACTGTATGAAAGTCGTATGCTGAGAACTCCCAATTTTTTCGTTTTTAACTTCAGTCTCCCCAACTCTCTCCCTGAACTCCAGGCCCACAAACCAGCCTGTTGTCCCAACACCTCTACTTGATTGTTTCACAGGCATCTTGAAATTAGTGCATCTATGTTTCACAGGCATCTTGAAATTAGTGCATCTACAATAGAATTCCTGGCACTGCCACCCAATCAACAACCTCCCAAAGCCGTCCGCACTTCAATAAATGACACCACAGAAGCATCAGATCCTGCCCCAAAACTAATCCTACTTTTGATTCCTCCCCTCTCTAACTGGTGCCAGCCAATCCATCAGCACACCTGTCATCCCTTCCGAAAAAACATCCTACCCCCAATCTTCTCGCCAGTGACACTCGGGTCCCAGCCGTCAGGGCCTCTCAACTGATGCCACACCAGCCACCTAACCGCTCTCTGGCCTCCATCCCCGCCCTTCCAGTTTTAACTTCACTTACCCCAGGGACTTCACTTACTGCAAAAGATGCCCGGCAGACGGGGCACCACAAGTCCAGCTGCCCCCTCCTGTAACCCCCTCTCCTCTCCCTCCCCCCTCCCTGCTCCAGCCTCACCACCGGGCTTCCCGTCACTTGAACAGGCAAGCCTGTCCCCAGCGCAGGGCCTCTAGCCGCTCCTGCACACCCGCAGGTCACGTGCTCCTTGATCCCAGTCAACTCTGTCCAGACATCCCCTCCCTGCCTACAACCCACCCACCACTTCTCTTGGCTTCATTTTCTTTCAAAAGTCTCATCACTAGCTAACGTGTCTTCCAGGTGCTCCCTCTAGACTGCCTCTCCGTGGGGCGGGGGCTCCACAAACATGTGCAGGACAAAGGGAAGAAAGTTCAGATGGGCCATGTCAGACTGAAGTCTGCACACGGCTGGGGACAGCAGCCCTGCAGCTGGGACCACAGGGCCCCTGCTGCCCTCCAGCCCGAGAGCCTGGGCCCCACATCTGGGAGGGCCGCGTCTCGGCCACCCCGCCCCACAGCTCCGTCCATGCAGGGATCAAACGGAAGCAAAGGACCCGGCAGCTCAAGGGCCCAACCCTCATGTAACACTCACTCGCGACCCCCAGCGGGGCTGCTCAGTCTTACCGAGCTGCTTTGCTGCGCGTTGCTTCTTAGCTTTACTGGAGGAAGAGTCACGCTCTTTTTCAGGGGAGAGACTATTTTCACTGGTTCTAGAGTCCCTTCTTCCTGACATGAAATTGCACAATGAAAATACGCATGAAACTTAATCTGTAACGCTGCATAGCATCAAACACGTGAAATTAAAATCACTCATTGACTCGAAGTGCTTTAGTTCTGCTACAGCACACTAGTTAAGAGTGAGCACAAATTACCATATTCCCGTGTAGAATGTTTTGTGGATCCCACAGGGATTCTAGAAGGGCTTTAAGAGTCTAAGCACGTCTAACAAACGTGACACCCCCCACTCTCTGGTGAACACAGGCTTATCTCTGTGGTGGGAACACAAGGGCCTGCATCTCTCACACCTTCCGGGCACTGGACACAAATCCCCAGATGCCACCCACGGAAGCAGGGCAGTGTGACAGGGTGGGGGACCCGGGGTGAGGTCAGTGCTCAAGGAGCAGCAGGGGAGAAAAGAGTTCACCAGTTTGTTGACAGCTCAGTAAATCTTAATGTCACAAATCTAGCAATCTGCAATAATCAGAGCTCTTCAAGACTGTATAAAAGGAATGCTACAGCACAGGCTCACCAGTAACTCAGACGCAAACATCCTGAGTTATTAGAAAACAAAAGCAGATGATACAACTGTCGGCTTAGAAAAAAAAAAAATCAGCAGAACTATTATGGTTTAAGATTCAAAATAATGCTAGATTTAAGGTACAGCTACAAAAATCAATACAGCTTCTACATTCCAACAATAATCACTAAAAATAAATGAGTGGAAGAAAGACACCATTTCCAAAAAAGAAAACAAACACCTGAGCAACCCTTGACAGAGAGACACTCCCCAGCACCAGCATACACGTCCTCCCGGGAGAGGAGGGGACCCCTGTGTAACCTGAAAGTAGGGGAACCCGACTTCCCAGAACAACAAACGCCTACGCTTAACCCAAGTCCAAGCGCACCCCAGTAAGTCTGTCTGCTCTGTGGGAGGTGGGATTCGTGGGCTCATGAAGTGACTGTAAAATACATATGGAAGAGTGAGCAAATAAAATGGCTTACAAGTTTTTTTGAAAAGAAAAATGACAGGGAACAAGCAGTAAAACAGGAACAGTGAAATAAAGACAAAAACAAACCAACCAGACTCCAGACTCCAAAAGGCACGGGGGGGTCACAGGGCAGGAGGGAAGGGAGCCACCAGCAGCTGACGTGGGGGGCCTGGCGGGCTATCCTGAAACCATGAATAAACTCAGAGCCTCGTTTTACACCGTGAATTAAAATGAGAGACAACCAAAAAGATTAAATAGAAAAACGCTTGAGAAAACACAAATCTTCATCTCTCAAATCTCTGGACAAACTGCCAAAAATATATATATATGTAAAAGACTGGCACCTTACAGTCCATAAAAATTAAACACCTAGGCAAGCCAGAAATCAAATGCAGTAAGAAAAAAATGGAAAAAATGTAAGACACAAATACTTATTTTAAAGTTGGCAGATGCCCTTAATGCAGAGGGACCTAGTGCAGTTTAAGAACTCAGACTCCCAGTGTTTTCCAACTGTCAAAATCAGCAAGCCTTTAAAACAAATCCCGGGAGAGGGTGTGGGGGACAAGGGACAGGTGGTGGTGCTCTGCAGCTAACCCCTGAACACGGCTGTGCCCTTTGTGCCAGTAACTACACTTCTGGGGACCTATTCCAAGAGATCGCCCAAAAGAGAGAGAGAGTTTCTGGCACAAAAAATGTTCATTACAGCATTGATTGTTGTCAAAGAGTGGAACTTACCATCTAAGTTAAGCTTTCAAATGAAAAATTCCAACTACTTCTTTAACATGTGCAATTTAGGAGAAGGAAGATTTTTCAGAACCCCTACTGCCCATTCAAAGCAACTCCGTGCTCCCACGGAAAGCCTCCAGCTGTCCTGCCCCGCGGTGGGCCGACACCCTTTCCCCACTTACCGGTCTGTCAGAATGAGGTGCCAGCCCTGGGCAAGCCCCAGGCCAGGCCCGTTTGAATTCAGATTCCCAGTGATAACTTCTGCTGCATCTTAAATAAACACCATCCGTCTAAGAGCCTGACGCTCCTGATGGGCCTGCCCTGCAGCAGCGTTGAATTTAGCTACCCAGCCAGAAGAAAGTCGGCGAAACACAGACAACTGATAAATGCTGCTGGGAAGTCAGAATTCAGTCACGTCTTTTAGACTGTAACACAGATCTAAACGAGGAGCTCCTCTGGCCCTGGTGGTGTGAGCGCACACGCGTGTGCGGGCGTGTGCACACGTGTGCAGGCCACACACTGGCGTGTTCGCGCAGCCTGCCTTCACGGCAAACCTGCTCTGGAGCCACAGAAGCTTTTTCCTGCCAGACGCTGTGATTCAGGCAAAGAATCTAATATCTACACTTCCAGCTTCTTATACGACAGATTTTCCAGTACCTTCCACTGAATTTTTGGATCGCCGTTTCGATGTCTTTGTTGTCACTGACCTGGATGCTCCAGTGGAAACCTCAGTCTTAAAGAAAAGAGAATGAAAAGAAGTCAACTGATGCACCACAAGCAATACCACGAGCAGACTCTTTATCCAAGCTCCGCCATAGGAGGAATAAGCAGGAAACACTCACAGCCACCTTCAAACGGGGAGACTGTTACCAACCTGGTGCAGCTGAGCACTCAAGACCTGAGAGCGAATTAGAAGAAATCTAAAGCCTCTTTCTTTCTACATTTAGATTTCCGCTTTTCTGTACAGCCCAGCAAAGGCCAGCAACCCACCGGCCATACCTTGAGAATCGCTGTTCTCTCGGGCACGTTTGGAGGACTCAGCAAGGTCCACTGCAAGGGCCTTAATTACTTACGTGCGTTTGCAAACAGCTCCGAGAGTGAACACGCACACGATGCGCTTAAACAGCGCGAAAATCAGAGAAAACAGCAGGCCCCGCCCCCCACCAGGGCGCAGCTGCCACCCCGACACCTCGCAGCAGCCACGAGGGCCCCCAAACAGCCTCCAGCCTCCGCTCCACTCCTTGCCCGTCTTCGCTTTCTGAAATGCAAGCCGGATGAAGCTGGGGTGAGTCTAACCTCCCCAGCGGGGCCCAGCCACAGGAGACACCCTGAGGGTCCCGCCCAGGCCAGGCAGAGCTTGCAGGGGTCGCTCCAGCTGGCCCTCCCTTCCTGGCCTGCCGGGTGACTTAATCCCCTCCCAGACTCATCCTAAATGCCACCTGCACCCTCCACCTCTACACCACGCAGACTTGTCAGATAAAGGCACAAGGAGACCAGGGAACCACCACAGAAACAGGATAAACACACCCGTCTATTTCATAGGCAGTAAACCATTTAAATTATCACTTTCATGGCACAACAGAGACGGACCCACGCACGCACTCCTCCCTGTCTCCGTGGACACCAGTTACTATCCCAGCTACTTCTCTTAAAATTATAAAGTTTACCTCTGGTTCAACTTTGGAGTCTTTAAAAGATCCATCTGACAACTTTTTAGACATCTCTCCTGCACTTGATGACTATAAGGAAGAAAAAAAAATTTTTTTCAAACTCTAGAATTGCTCAAGTCTGAAAACACATCAAGCCACGTTCTCTGACAGTGACCAATAAGAGGATAACCCCCTGCAGGAGCACGTCCCACTCCAGCCCCAACCCCTGTGGTTGCTACGCTGCCTGGACCCCAAAGGCCCTTCCAAGGCCGCATCCCCTCAGGGCAGACAAGGGGGTCAAGGGCGGCAGAGGCGGGGCCTCGCAGGAAACCCTGGGGAGAGTGTTTCCCAGGCACACGGGACGCCTACACCAGGCCAGACTCCTCCGACCCATTCCGGTGACACGCAGGGAGCCTGGAAACAAGGGAAGGCGGGAAAAGAACCCTCCGACACCCAGAGGAAACGCCCTGCCCCCAGCTTCTGAGCGCGGGGCGACTTCTAGATGGAGTGGTTCCTCACGAGCAAAGGCTTCAGATCTGCATCAGGAAAGCTCTCTCAAAACAAGCCAAGCGGAAAGTGTGAACACGTTAAGTCAGCCCCTGAGAAAGCCTCACACCTTCACCTCTCAATGCAAGGAGCAGAAGGGCTACGAGAACTGCGCGCCTCCTCCGTGGGGGCTGAAAAGCAGAGGCGCCTGCTCCACAGTCCAGCGACTCAGTGTCCTCATGACTTAATCATGAAGGTACCGGGCTTCCTCACTACTCGGAACCCCAGGGTCCCCCAGGAACGCCCTGGAGCGGGCCCACTCTCCTCCTGGGGCCGCACACCTGCCACGCAAGGCCACAGAACAAGCGGGCTGCCTGGGCAGCAGGGAAGGGCCCAGGCCTGGCCCCTCACCGTCTGGCCGCCTCACGGGGGCAGACCGTGAACCTTTCCAGACCTCGGCATCCTCCTTCCAGCAGCTAGAGACCAGCGGATTTCTGTGACCTTCCCAGGACACTTTAGTTACGTGATGTCCCACGAGACCGGGTGTCTGTAGTGTCAGCCCTGACAAGAGACTTATCCTATCTATGCGAGTCCAAAATAACCTGCACATTTAGAAAACGCTGTCGGAAACCAAAAGGATTTTGGACAATCCTAAACTTACCTGAAAATTTAATTAAACAAAATTCAGTTAACTGAGGTCTTATTGTACTTTTCTGCTAAGGCCTCAGAGACTTCAAAAGCAGCCCCAATCCTCAATAAACACAGCCAGGCCCAGGCCCTGAGAGCCACCCCCACAGGGGCTGCCTGTTAACACCGCTCCCCGTCCTCAGAAACACACCCGAGACGCGCGCGGCGCAGGCAGGAAACGCGGGCGCGCTCACGGGACCCGGCAGAAGCTACTGTCTCTCTCTGGGTTTCTGCCAGGAATCCAAGACTGTCATAGCTTTAAATTGGTGACAAAGAAATTCAGTTCCCTGATCACACAACAACGAGGACCAAAGTCATTTTCCGGCATAACATAAGCTCTTCCTCGTTACAGGCCAGGTTTTCAAACAGGACTCACCTTTTTCTCTGGTTTCTCATGCTCGTGGCTCTTCTCCCTGTCGGGGTCCCGGGCGTGCTCCCCGTTTCTCACCCTCCGCTGGTCCCGGTCCCGGTCCCTGTCCTGGTCCCTGCCCTTGTCTCGCTCACGCTCTCTCTCCCGGTCTTTCCACCGCTCTTTCTCCCTTCCTGCCTCATTCTTCCGTTCCCTCTCCCAGTCCGCGTCCTTGTCCCGGTCTCTGTTGCCTCTGTCCCGGTCCCTGTCCCTCTCCGGCCTGGCCCGGGTCTTGGCTCTCTCTCTCTCCCCTTGGCGGATCTTGTCTCTCTCGGGCTCCCTCTGTCGCTCCCGGTCACTCTCCCTGGCCTTCTCCTTGTCCCGGTCCCTCTCTCTCGGCTTGCTCTCTCCTCCCACTTCCTCCTTCCGTTTTCCCTCTCTGTTGGTACTTCTCTCGTTGACTTCAGAGTTTCTTCTATCCTGGGGGGAAAGAAAGCCAGATAATAGTATCACTAATAAACATCTCCCTGAACCACAAAAAGCCTCTTTATTTCATTTTCGGACGCGTGTAACTTGCATTCACCTCTTTGTCTTTAGGGACCCTGGGCTCTTCTTCCCTTGCGTTCTTATTATCCAATTCTTGAGGCTTCAATGTGAGGGAGGGCCTTCGTTTCGTGTCCCCCTTCTCTCCGGCTAACACTCTCTTCACTGCATCGTCACTGGAGAGCTTGTCCCAACATGAGAAAATAAAATGCAAGATGATGATGAAATTGGTACAGTTAACAAATACGAGTGTCAATAATCAAAGACAGCTCATTAAATGGGTTGTCTATCAGTGAAATTCAAAGGATAAAACGCTAAAAGGAAATGTTGTCACAGCATCTCCTGTAACTGTCCCCTCTGCACCCCAGTCATTAGCAGCAGAGTCCACCCAAGTTTCATGCAGGCTGCTTTGATCTCCCTCAAGTTGTCAAGTGTGGCTGTGCGTTGTTAAAGGACACCGAAGCTGACCCACACAACCCTACGAATGCCTGACATTTTGCACAGGGTCACAGAGGCCCAGCACTGAAAAAGCCTCATGGAATGATCTCACTCAGGTCCCATCACATGCAGAAGTCCCTTCTGCAGCTGCCATCCGGGCCTCCGAACACCTCTGGTCAGGAATCTCACTTGTCCACTCAGTCACTCATCCTGCAAGCACGCGCCGAGTGACCGCTACACGCCAGGCACCAGACTGCAGGCCAAGGACACGCCACACACCGGGCAAGACGCCCAAATACAACCATCAAAAGCCAGTGTGCTGTCATGAAGGGGCTCCAGGAAGAGGAGCCAGTCCCACAGGGCTGCAGAGGTGGCAGCTCGACCCATGAGTTTGGAAGCAGGACTGGGCGGGAGCGCTCGCGGGGTGAGTGCACGTGGGAGATGAGGGAAAAGGACCAGAGGAGGGGGCAGAGGAGAGGACAGAGGAGGGGACAGAGGAGGGGACAGAAGAGGGGACAGAGGAGAGGAAGAGGAGGGAC